CCAGTTCAATGGAAAACTTTATTCCGGGGTTGACTCCTCAAGATTTCTTCGAAGTATATAAAGTTCTCGTGAAGACAGAATTGTTGGAAAATAAATCGTTGGTTTCTGGAAGTGAAATTTTGGAAAGATTTACACAAGATTTGATGATTTGTAAGTATATATTACTGAGAATATTTGTGGAACTACTGAGAATTTGTTTAAGGGTAGATTTGCGACCTTATATATATAGGGATCTGATGTGGTATAGTGGTGTACAGTAGAGTATACAGGACTATAGCAGGGTACTATTCTCATATAACATTGTGGGAACATAGCAGTCATATTGCTTGTATATTGTCCACCTCACTAGGAATGGGTGGACTTCACCCAAAGTCAGACCAGTTTGAATAAACTTATAGTTTAGATGTTTCCTTCTGTATTTCCGTGTACACACTTGATCTACACTGCAGGATGAGCTTTGAAAAGGTTAATAGAGCTACTCAGTATAAAGCTACCGAACCCTTAGGGTGAACAGTTTGTATAAACTACACATAGTCCAGAGCTACTCAGTTTAAATAAAGTTAGTTAAGTTTCTACTTCTTTTGAGGTAACTTTGTACCAACAAGGGATGCCAGAACACTCACATCTAGAGAACTCACAGAGCTATCCATGTAGTATATGTAGTTTAGTTTAAATTTCTGTTTTATCACTGGACGTTTAAAGAGATACATCAGTTTAGAACAGTTTAGTTAATTGGTTTTCTCCTGTAGTTTATAACACTGGATCAACAAGGATTGATCTTTAGGAAGATTTTAGAACTAATAGAGCCATTCAGTCTAAATAAAGTTAGTTTAGTTCAGATTTCCTCCTGTGGTAATACTGGATCAATGAAGGATGACCCTCACTGGACCTCCAGGGAGAACAGGAACTGATAGACCTATCCAGTACAAAAAAAGTTAGTTTAGTTTAGGTTTCCTCTTGTAGTAACATTGGATCAATAAGAGATAATCCTTACTGGACCTCTAGGGAGAACAGTTTAGAACTGATAGAGCTATCCAGTATAAATAGAGTTAGTTTAGTTTAGGTTTCCTCCTGTAGTAACACTGGAACAATAAGAGATGATCCTTACTGAACCTCTAGGAAGAACAGTTTAGAACTGATAGAACTATCCAGTATAAAAAAAGTTAGTTTAGTTTAGGTTTCCTCCTGTAGTAACACTGGATCAATAAAGGATGATCCTTACTGGACCTGTAGGGAGTACAGGAATATCAAGCTATCCAGTATAAATAAAGTTAGTTTAGTTTAGTTTAGTTTAATTTAGTGTTCCTTCTATAATAACACTGTATAAATACGAGATGTTCCTTACTGGACTTCTAGGGAGAACAGTTTAGAACTGACAAAGCATTAAAGCTATTCAAAGTTTAAATTATTATAAGCAATTCAATCTCAGGCCTTATATAAAAACAATAAAAAAAACATATGCAACTTTTATCATGTTTAACATTGACAACGAGCTAATGAGGGACCGTACGATACATTTGGGTATAACAGGGTACAGTTAGGTACTCTACAGTACGGAATATTAGAGTAGAGGATATTTAAAGTACAGGTTATATAAGAATGATAAACAGGTGAAGATCTCTTTATTAAGCAAGATGTAATGTTGTGTAAGTACATATATTAAAGTTAATAAGCAAATAGCAAAAAAACCCGCATGAAATAGTAGGCAATTGGTATTTTTATGGCAAGAAATGTTGGCACTTTCATAAACGAACTAAAGGGAATCATTATTGATCAAAATGTTCATTATTTTTCATTAGTCTTGGATGAAAGCCCAGAGTATCAAATAAAAGGAGAGGATTCTATCTTTCCAGAACCTTGCAGCGAAGATCGTTGTAACAATGTAATAAACAAAACTCCTCAATCTATGGTAGAATTCTTAGAATTAAAAGACATTTACGAGAAAGTCCAGAGTCGTGCAGGAGGAGGCTCACATCAACGAGTTGCGTCGGGTTTGATAAACATTAAAGCGACTTCCGAGGGACAATTGTGCGGTATGAATGTATTTGTACAAAGAATGCCCGAAGCTGCAGCATTATGTGGAGATGTAAACGGAAGAATACCGTTAGAAGTTAATCATGAAGATTATTTTAAGAATCAGGTATGTACAAGACGTTATGAGGACTGAATGCTCAGAATATGTATAGCCAATTAACAACCAAAACATGCAAATTTTATTTAAATAATTCATGAGTTAATCAAGCAACAAACTAAATTAACACCTATAATTAACTGACGAATTGACTATCTAATTATATTTAATTAACTAATTAATTATAAGTTTAAACAAATAACAAAACTAATTAACCAACTAGCTAACTAACTACATTTAATAATTTTAACTGTAAAAAATACCAAAAATAGGAACCATTTTAGAGTATAGGACACATTATTTAAAGTATTTAATTAACTAATTAATTAACTCTAAATATTTCTTGTATCTTCAGATATGGTGGCAATAAAGAATTTTACTAATTACATTGAATTAACAAAGTAACAAACAAACAAACAAACAAACAAACAAACAAACAAACAAACAAACAAACAAACAAACAATTAAACAAATAACAAACTAATTAACCAACTATAAATATAACTTTCAAGGCATGACTGAGACAAAATATAGGGCTTCCTGCATGTACAAGTATACACACTTGTACATACTGTATTTACTGGATATATTTATAAAACAACTTAGCTAATTTGATAAATATTCATCTATTTGCAGCAATTATTTTCAGTCGACTTGGATTCAGTGTACAATACTCCTAATGGAACTCCAGTTTATAAACTGGCCACAGTGGATGCAGAGAGAAGGAATCTCTTTCAGTTAATCGTTTCTCTGAAATTGATTGATGGAACAGAAAGTGGACCATTTATGAGCAAACCGTTCTTAATACGAAGTAGAAAACCCGGTAGTCGTTCAAATTCATTTGAAATAAGCTGAAGACAAACACTACCGAGTCAAGATTGGATGTTTCATTCATACAGAGTATATGACATTCCAAAAATGGAGTTTATAACCCGCTATCAAGACAAAGATGATAGACAGATTTACTAACAATTTCACATCGCAGTTTCACATTGCACGAATTAGAAATTTCAAAAAATATTACAATTAAAATATCTTAAAATATAGCCATCGTAAAATTAGTAAACAATTTCATCATTAGATATAACAAGTCTATCATTAAGTTAAATCAACGAATTTATATACAGTTAAAAGGTTAAAGGACAAGCTAACGATATAGCCTATATATACACAAAGCAAGAAGAAATTTTTGTGATATCTATCATTAAATACTAAATGTGCGAAGGTTATTATTACAAACCTGGAAGGTACCAAATGCAGAAGCTTATGTGATGGACCGTTAATGATGAGTTTGAACAATTTACAACACATATATACATATACAATACATATACGTAACATAATCGTTTCCATTGTGCCATCGTGCCACTTGCCAGACAAGTGGATGCATGATCTTTGAATTAAATCAGTGTGGAGTTGACCAAATTTTAAATTAATGAATTTACCCTAATATCAAGAATACGATTTTAAATGTATTGAGCTGTAAATACGAGTATTCTTATCAAACTGAACTAGTGATGTTTCACTGGACTGTCAAGTTTTACACGAGAAAAACAAAACTGAATAGAAGAAACGTTTTACCCAGCTGCTGTGCAGTTATAGACTAAATACCAACGTTTAACTAGCAGAAAAAAATTGTAAATTGAATTGTAAATAGAGTAAATGACTGACAGTTAAATACAAAATATAACACACTTACTCAAAAGCGTGGTATAGGCCTACAGTATGTCCAGAAAAAAATGCAATAGGTATGTTCCAATGTTTCAGTTCCGGAGTCCGGACACCGTGCGGATATACTATTGATTTATTGATGATGAAAATATGAGCCTTACTAGTTTTTCCCAATATCTTTCCTGCAAGAATGCAGATAATAGATAGATACAACTTTATTTAATCATAGTAGAATACATGGTTTGGAAACTCGATGAAATTACAATAAAACTCGTGAACCATGTTAGTCTAGGGTTTTATGCAAAAATATGGTTCTTCCTCGTCGAAAGACCAGATTTTTAAATAAACCTGAACAAAATAATCGATGAGTTGTATTGTCAAGCACTGACAAACCTGTTGCCTAAATACTACACACGTAAAAACTCACATCTTGTAGCAAGTCTGCCAACAAGCCGTCAATAAGTTGTGTTCGCACTGCTTGTTCCAAGATGTCAAACAAGTTTGGAAAAAGCTGTTAACAACTTGTAACAAGCATGTTGATATTATCAGATTGGTGCAAGGTCAACCTTGTGTCGTCAACCATGTAACAATCTTGCTACATCATGATTGTGTTAGAACAACCTTGTAACAAGTCTGATAATGTTATCAAGCTTGTTACAAGTTGTTAACAGCTTGTTCCAAACTTGTTACAACAACTGGGAACAAGCAGTGCGAAGACAACTTGTCGACAGCTTGTGAACAGTTTTGTTACAACTTGTTTGTAGACTTGTAACCAACTTGTGCGTTTTTACGTGTGTCAGACTAATTACAAAATATACTAATTTGTGACTAAATGTGAAAGATTTGGCAACATAATTTTTATTTTTGACTGACAGTTTCATCGACTTGGAGAACTAACTGAGTCCTTTAATGATTCAGTCTCAATGATCGTAAATCATTCTTACATGCATGCATGCCCTGACAGTATTTACATTTTCGCAGGTATGTTAGCTGAGTCCAGAGTGACGAGCCTTTGGGGGTATTTATTTTAAATATTTTTAAAAAAACAGTGGTCAACAGTTTGCTGCCTGCAGAGGCAACAAGATATTTTCAGACTTGAACTGCTATTGTTTTTCAGTTAAGGCAAACTTATTTTAAGCAAATGCATGAAAAACAAAAACAAGAACCATGCTGTGCTCAGGTCAAAAATATCCGCAAATTATTCATATTTCTGCTGCACTCAGCAAGTTTTAACAATGCCCGATGGAGTGCGAGATAATATGCAAATACTAGGCTTTGAAAAGTACACACACCCAATGAAGTGCTATTCAAAAGATTGATTGATATACTCGGATTTGAAATATGATACTTACCCCATGGTCATACATAGCAATAACACTTATTGAAAATTTTGTACAAGTCACTAAAAATCTCCAACAATTGAAAATATTAATGTTCCCCGCCTTAATTATAGGTATTCCGGTTTCCTCCTGTTGTGACATTCACAATATTCACTGAGGATTGAGGGAATGACCTTACTGGACCTCAAGGAAGAATAGTTTTAGAACTGATAGAGCTATCCAGCATAAATCAATGTGATTGTCTAGTTTACTAAGTACAGAACGTAGTTTAGACAAAACTGTTTTCAATCGTTATTTAAATTCAGACACCCGTTTTAAATCTTTAAGCATGCATTTGTCCCTAGATCTGCCTTGAAATACAGTATTACAAAGTTCCTCATGGTGCATGTATTATTGTACGATTTGTGCGGTAAATTGTACATCATAGCCGTAGGTGATTCATGATTCTTAAAATTTAAACTATAAGCGAGGGGTACATTACTCTGAAAATCTTCGTACACTTCATTAAAAATAAAAAAAAATCTTTGGAAAAATCCCAAACTTACTAAATCCTAGAATCCCAAAATCCCAAAAAATCTCTAAAAAATTGAAAATCCCGAGATTTATTATGAAAATCCCGAGATGTATCAAAATTCCGAGAAAAATTGCCAGGATTTTCTAATCTCAAAAATCTTCGTACGCTTTTTTCAGAGTAATTTACCCCTCGACTATAAGCGCGCAAAGTTTAATGGAGCACAAGTTTCAAGCTTAGAGTAGCTCAATATTGCAGCTATTTGTGAATGAATTGTTCTCGTAAGCTAGGAGATATTTACCGTGTCTCTAAGAAATGGGACCCACATATGATTTCTACACGGATTAAATGATGCTCCCTTAATTTATGCTTATGCACGCTCAGAGTTTAAGGCCGTTTAAAGTTTAGAATTCAAGGTTAGCAAAGGACAACCTTTTTTGAATGAGCTATTTAGCTGTATGGCCTCTATGGAAATAGTATAGATATACTATGGATTCAATGATGCAATCGCAAAATCCATATAGACATATATGAATGAATTTCATAAGTATGAATTTCACTTTTTTCCCCAGTGTATATTACCAGCTAGTACAGAAATATAGAACACGGATCATTGTTTTCTTCAATAGGCAAAAATTTCGGCTTTCGCAGTTTGGACGCATTTACTCGAGAATATTCCATCCTCTCATATTACCGAGTGAACAATAATATCACAACATTATATGGATTACGACTATGATTGTCTATTGAATGTGTATCGTGATTTTTATTGCGACTTCATTTTACTTGCAGTGGATGTAAAATATGCTTATATAGTTGCAATACATTCCACCAGATTATTTGACATGCAATGCAGGTTGAACATTTAAAAAGTGACATAATGATCTATTTAGAGGCGATGATCTGTAAACAAAGTTAGCCTAAGTCTCGATAACAATGAAATGAGATATGAATGATAAATGACCTCCCATCGGAAACAGTTTAAAGTTTGTTAATTAGATTGGCCTCCTCAGAGCATAAAAGCCACCTAAAGCCGTAAAGGTAAAAGAATTCAAACCACAAATGATAATAAAACCACAACTTTAATAACTATTTTAACCCCGCAAGTTTTAACTATACTATATCTCAAATTTATATTTACAAAACTAGACTATTCTTACCAACAATATATATTATATTTTCTAAGATGCATGACTATATATTCAAGTGACAAAAAGTGGCGCGCGACACCGCGACTTGCTTACAAGCACTTTTCAAGGAGGGGCCTGCCCACGCAAAATGTATTATTATCTCGAAACAATGTTTTGCCCACATCTTGTCAAAATATCCTATATCGACAATATTAATGAACGATATTGTTTCAACATTCGCGCACTGAAAGTGTTTATCAATAAGTCCATTTCGACAAACTTTCGTTCGCCTTTCGACTCGCGCGCTTTAAAACTCGGCCAAAACAGGACCAGCCTGACAATATCAGCTATTTAAAGTTCACTTGTTGCTCTTGAACATCTAGTAATCCAACGGAAATCCATTCTAAGACTGTTTTAGAAACACCACAAAGACCAAAATATCAACGTATACATTGACAGCACTAGTTCTAACACATCACAATAATTAAAAGTTGAAGACCAATGTTCCACAAATGATCTTAATTTTCATGCGCACGATCGAGACCGCTGGATCGGCTGTTATTCAACGAGTCTCCGACAGCTCTTAACGCAGATCCAATATCACTGAGCGTCCCTCGTTCTTCATTGGATACGCCATTGCCTCGCATATTCGCCGCATTTTGACGAGCATCACGGTTCCTCGCCTGTCTTTCCTTGCTTTCTGTCCGTCGAAGGCTGCGTCGACGGCTGTTACTTCGTTTTAGCGAAATACCCATTTTAAATTTGAACTTTGTTGGGATAATGTTATGATGGTTTCTGTAATAGATTTAACATTGGTGAGTGAAGATTAATATATTTTTGTTAAGGCCATACTGCTATATACATGCTATATAGTCTATTACAGAGAACAAGAAAGAAAGAAAGGGAAAGCTTTGGATTGATAGGAATACAACTAAATGAAAAACACAAGGAGAACTTCGACGTTTCGAGCGAAGGCACTTCGTCAAAACGTTGAAGACGAAGTTCTCCTTTTATTCTTCAGGTGGTTGAATCGCTATTAATCCGAAGCTTTCTTATCATATATTAGCACTCACGAGTCATGACTCATTATCAATAGCGGTAAATGCTAAACTAAACTATTGTAGATTAAATTTAATCTTTTCAATTAATCTTATCTCGAGTCATAATATGCATGCCCATAATCCATATGATCAGATATTAATACTGTATTCTCTCTCCCGAAGAGGCAAGCATCGGATAATTTTTCTTCATGCCACTGTCAGTGGGAATCGAGTGTTTATTGTCTTTGTAAAATAATTTTAAACAATGAAACCAAAGCCGAAGACAGGTCCATTATTTGATCTGTTGATTGTAGCATCGTCAAGCATGAAATTAAATACTTCACGCAATTGAACTCCACAGTTTTGACTTGTGGTATAGCTATTTCATGCTGTTGTAAAAGGTTACTTTACACAGTAGAAGCTTCTGTGATCACCGCGGATCAGATCATCAGTCATGCATGGTATTCCCACTTCGATTCAACGATTTTTAAACTCAAATTTGTGTCTTTGAATGAAGTTTAAACACTGTCGCACACTTTGTCTTTGATCATAGAAACTTCGATTGTATAAACCACCCTTAATAGTTAATACCAGAAAGGAATGGCTGTTGACTATATTATTAAAACTGTAACATAGGATTCAGTGGTTGAATTCGACATTTTAACGAGGCTGGCAGACTGGGCACATTGCAGATCATTGTACAAACAAATTATAGCATCCGCGCGACCAAATTAGCTTCCATGCACCGCGTATAATATATAATATATATCGCACATGCAGTCGGAATGAAATCCTGTACGACTATAATCTCTACACAATTTCATCATTTTTGCCACCATATAAAAGCAGTATGAAAGCAGTACCAAAGGCAAAGACGAAGCTATTCATTAGCGTTAACGCCTTGCACTAGATATTTTTCAATGGTACGCTGGTTTACCCTCGAATTCGACTACAATATTCAATACACAATTGTCTTAAGCTTTCCATTCGTTTAAACATAGAAATAAAATATTATTATAGTGAAGATTATAGTCAAATTCAAATAATTTGCTTGGCTGAATATCAGTTGTGTCACTTGTGTGATATTAATCGTCTTGTGTCAACAATTAACATTATACACGAACATTATTTGGCCAAAATTTCATAATAAAACGGACTACAGTACATTATAGACATAATATTCGATAATACTAACCAAGTTTGCTTTATAAACGCTGTATTACAGTTAAATATCTTTCACTGGAAATAAATAAATCTTCTTTCGCTTTGCTTGATAATGACTCAATGATTAACAGCTTGCGGTTGTGATAGCTGTGTCGCTGTTTATAGCGTTGCTGTGCGATTTATATATCCTCCCCAAAGGTCTTAAAATAGCTTTCAACCATCAGCGCATGCGCGTGGAAACAAAGGCAAGATTTCATGATGTTGTCTGTTGAAAAGTACGTCGTATATATATAATAATCGCTCATTGGAGGTCAATTCTTTAGCGCAGAGGAAAAATTTTGTTGAATAATAATTCAAGAATAGAAATATAGGGTCTAACATTCTGCTTATCCTAGGATATTAATCAAATGATATCGTTTCTACAATATTTTCAGACTAGCTTCATTCAAACAGCTTGATTTAGTGTATGATAAACTATCGTTGATTTTTAAATTTTTGTATCATTTCTTGACGGTTTTATCCCTAGGGTTTTCATAAGAACTAGTCAAACAGCCTGTCTAAACATCTTTATTTTTTGTGTATTAACTAATTTAAAAGTTGATTGTTTTCAAGCCCCGCTTCTCCTCACCGCCAGCACGAGCTTGAAGTGCTTCGGACAAACATGTGATGACGCATGCGGTGGTGTTTATACAGTATGGGAAATTTAGGATAAAATGCAAAGCAAAATTTTAGATTACAGTTATTTCCACGATATTCATTTATTAATTTTGGCTTGAAGTGTGGGTATATGGCTATAGCAAAGAAAAACAGGGTAAAGCTGGTCTAATTTCTACATATTTAGGCTGCGAAATTTTTTTTTTAAAACTATGTAATGCAGTTAAGAGGGATTAGTAGGAGGCGATAATTGGAATCATAAGACATGCATGTGTATCAGTTTCATTATTTCAAAATACGTCACCCGTCATGGATAAGCGCGAGTTTCGCTTTTCTGCAATTTTCAAAAAGTGCTTTCCCCAAATTATGTATATTTAGTGTTTACATATCCGATATCAAAAGACAAAGACATATTTGAAGTTTATGAAGTGCATTAGTGTCTGATATATTAATGAGTTTTAATGATATATATACTGAAGATGGATACTAAGGCATGTATATAGTTATACTGAATATAAGCTGCCGTGGTTTGTGTCTGTGAATTAATTAAAAGATATCCCAAATATGGGGGTCCATTGTAGGTAGCATTTTTCAATATTAAGCTACCGTGTTTCTGAACTACCTGAAAATGATATCTCAAATGTGGTGGCCCAATGTAGGTAGCATTCTACAGTCTGAAGCTAGCTGTCGTGTTTTGTGTCTAAACTACCTGAAAAATATCATTACAAAAACACTTTGTGAGAGAAGATCTTTCGTGCGAGGATATATATCTTCTATTTTCCTCTTCCCACCCAGAACACATCAAAAAAGTCCTCTCTCATTTCCTCGATCCCCAATGTAGGCAGCACTCTACAAAGTGTTGTGTAATGATATTTTCAGGTAGTTAACCTAAAAAATATCATAACACAAACACTTTGTAAGAGAACATCTTTCGTGCGAGGACTGATCTATCTTCTATTTTCCTCTTCCTACACAGACCACACCAAAAAAGGCGATCGCCCTCTCTCTCTGATTTCCGTCATCGTCTTTGACTGTATAAACCAAGTCTCAGTCTTCGCTTATAACATCCGAAAGCCGCGTCCTAATTCCAGATGGTTTAAACCCAACCAATTGGCACGTACGGCTTATTGTACAGTACGTTTTTCATGAATAAAGTCAACTGAGATTCGCGACAAGATCGAGATACGGCAGAGTTATATATATTAAACCTTCGTACAATAAAAACTCCGGATAAGGAAATTCAGTAAAAAGATGAAGTGTGCTATAGAAATATAACCTAAATTTTGGCATTTACCTACATAGCTTTTATTTGCATGTATATATAGATTTCAAGGTATATACCGTGGCTAAAGTCTGGTTTACACTATCAAAGTTTCTGTAATCACCGACAGTATATACAGGAATGTTGCATCGGTAAAGGCTAAGTTTTGAAGGATTTGTAAGAAATGTTTGAGGGAACTCACTCAAAAATAGTTACCTGACGCAATTGCAAAATTCTTACTGCCGGATAACAGAAACTTTGACAGTGAACCAGGCTTAAGAAAAAGCTTATTGATTGAGTATTGAATGTTCAAAAGTTATTCATTCTGGATGGAATGGGATTTCTTTAGAAAAGGACATGCAGAGTGTAACATTGATATATTTCTATTTAATTTTTTGCGAAGAATCAAAAAATTTCCTTTTGCTGATACCGCAATAAGTGTTTCATTAAAAAAGCTTTTAAAATTTAATTGTTTCTCTTTCCCCCTAAAAAGATCATTAATAGTAAATCATTAGCCAGATATCGGGGTATTTCCCATGCAAATTTCCTATACATTACAAAAGAAAGTTTATCCGAAGCCCACGCAACTGAGTCAGTACAACTGACTCTATATGGCAGAATAGTTTATATGGTGCAATATCTTGACAAATGAACGTTTATTGTGCGATGAAGTCATTTGTTTACTTGGTCACCTGGACTCTAAATTCCGATTCAATGAGTCACACATTGAACAGCTGCAGCATAATATATGTATAATTAATTAGAGCAAAGTGAGTGAGCAATGAAGCCTAAAAAATACAAACTAAAAATAACATCTGATCAATTTTTCAAAGAACTTTTGAATAACCTGTTTTAAATATTAAGTTTTACTCTTAGGTTAAGTGTTTCTATAAGTCGTGAACGGACTATAATGCAGGTAGTGGCAACAATAAGAATTAAACTTTGAGCGAAGGCCCTGCTTCGTCGGGAAACGCCGTCGAAGTTCTCCTTCAGGTATATTTTTCAGGTGGTTCTTAAGTCACTTACAGAGTATAAGCCGCCTGAACTCAGATGTCAATTAAGCGCGCCGTGAATCATATTTCTTCAAACTAAGCCGTTTGCTCAAAATATGTGAACCTCTTCCGAACAATTTGATCAAAGCAGTGGTTTGCTACAAAGCCAAAAGTACAAATTGTCAAAAAGGCTGATAAACATTACAATTTTATCCATATAAAAGTTTCATACAACCTTCAGACTCAAATTCTGAATAAAGAGGTTTATATATAATCACAAACTTTGACCAAAGAAACTTTGTTGATTTAACTGGCAGAAGTTCTTAAGACATACATTTGCCCGAGTTTTTGCCGAAATATGAGAACCAAAAAACAAAAATTGCTAACTTTTAGTTACATATACACTATCAATTAATACAATTATATACTCAGAAATTCTAACAGAAAACTTGAATTGTTAAGAAAGAGAATTTCCCGCAAACGCGCATAAAAAAGTGTGGATCCGGCTTATTTATAGTTATTCAATCTAGAAGGCGACTTTCCTTTTCGTTTGTGAGAAGATCAAGGGAGGAGATACCGGTGGCGGGGGATTATCACGATGATCAACCTCCTCCGCAGGCCGTATCTCGTTGAGAAATTGAAATTTGAGATTGCAACTGATCATGCAGTGATGGTATTTCCTGGTTGCGAAATTTTCAAGGACGTGAAAAATTGATTTTTAGAACGCAAACACGTTTAAGTCATATATGTTATTTTTAAACTTAAATTTCAAATCAATATATATCTAAAGTTCATGTGCTTTTATATATATACATGCTCTATATAGCATTTAATTAATTTGTACAGACTGTATACAGTCTAAATTTCTGGGTGTTGCCGTTGGCAAAACACCAAAATGGTGTAAATAATTGCAGTTCTGTACACACTTTAGTATAAATGTTAACACCATGTTTGTGTTAGGGAAACACGAACTTTATACCCAATAAGTGTATTGAAACACCTATGGCACTTATTGGGTGTAAATATGACAATTGACCAGTGTATAGTTGGTGTTCACTAAAACAAAAATAGTGTTAAAATTTACACTAAATCAATGTCTATTATAGGCTAGCACCCATGCAGAGTGTTCCTATATGTAGCAGTGTATTTCTAGCATAAACTAAAAGTTTCCCATTTCAGGTATAGTTAAATAAATTGAAGGCTGGTGACTCTTAATCTGATGATTCTTTGATATACGGATTTTCATTTCATGGTTGACCGCTAATCTTGCGTTCACATGAAAAAATATCAAATAACTGACAAAATACCGCATTAACATATTGTGCAAGAGTGACGTGCCGCACCCACTATTCTCTAACCTAATTGACGAAACTAAAAACGTTTGTGTCCTTGAACTGCGGTTACAAGTAAACCGCAACTCCTATGGCTATTATTTGCATGTAAAACAAAAATACGGAAAAACAATAAAGTATATAGCCCTATAACTAGAAGCATGCAGGAATGTTTTTATATAACAAATGCAAAACAATTGAAATAAGATGAACAAATTTAAGCCGTATTTCCTATCAAATGAAAGTGAAACTGATCCAGCAGTTGAATTTTGAAACTAATTTGCGCATTTGGCTGAAGATGCGCGCCACAACGAAACAAGCGCTGGCATTAGCACGTAAAATGTTGTACACGGAAATGCACTATTTTGATTTAGTATTTATATTACAAATAATCCTCGAAGTTTTAAAACTTTTCCGGGCTTATACCCACTGGCAATGAACCAAAAATTCTGATATTTGCCTGCATAGCTACAGGTATACTTAAAATATTGCTAAATTCCACAAAAACTGTAATATATCTACACCAGTTTGCTATACTAATATAAATATACCTTATTCTGCACTTAAAACATGTTTAGGACAGTGCTTTTGAAATTAAGAGATCAGCTGTAATCTGTCAAAACTACACCTGCTGGCTGCTGAGCCTTAAAATAACCGGCAACTTGTGTCTTTCATATACACACGGGGTTTAGCCAGCCTTTAAATTATGAATATATTTGCGATGAATATATTTGAACCATTGAAGCTTTGAAAATTACTGCATGCAACTATACTAAACATACATACATGCATGTATATAGCCTATATAAAGTTGGAAACTAAAAATCATAACAGCTTACCTCAAGAAGGAAGATCTGATCAATCTGTAATTCACAATTCTCTTTCAGAACAAGAACTGTTATGTTGTAATACTTCTCGCAGGATATCTTGGCTCGACCGCAAATGATCCTTTTGACTAATTTACTGAGAAGTTTCCTTCCCGGATTGAGATCGTGTACTGAAGCCAAATGCCAAAAAACCTGCTAAAATATTTTTCTTGTGAGTCATTTGATACATGGAATGTGCAAATAAATCCCTCCCTAATCGCTTCTAATTGTCATACGAGTCATATGATTGGTCAATGAAAGAATTGGCTCAGCCCACTTTGACGTGGGCTAATCAGGGAGGCAAATATCACCGGGGAGTGTAAGATGAAATGTTTGACCACTGTAACAACAGTTTATTTTTGAAACATCGATTATGCAAGCTTTCAACTGTTTAAGGTGTAGTGATGTGCATTTTTTGGGCAACAGTCCAGCATTTTGACAAAGCAGTTCTTTTACTGATATGAAAATTATTTCATATTAATTTTGACAGGGCAGCTAAAATTCGATATTGCACACCTGCGCAGAAGAGCGTGTACAGTTTTTTCGAAAATGTTCATTTGTTCACGCAGGGTTCGTGGCAAAATCAAACTGCTATGATATCGGTTGTCAGCATTCTTCAGTTATAAAACCAATTAGAGACGACTGGGTATAAGTCAGTTTTTATAACTCAAACGTCGTCTCCTGTAGAGGGTAGTGCATGCAAATGTTTTTAGCCTTCAGAACTGCATGGTGCAAATTTAAGCGATTTATACCTGAATGAACTTGTCTCAATAACATACAAGGAAGTTTATATACGGAAGCAAAAACATGGCGTATATTAACTAAGGGGGCAGGCATTGGGGAGAAGAGCATTTTATAAATGAGAGAAAATTTACCAAATAAATTCTTATATAGTTATATAGCAACGTTTTTTTAATCAGAAAGTCAGGTTACATTTTATTTAATCAAAAGCAAAAAGTTGAGGACCAAATTTGCCAATACATCACTTATATACTGCATGGATGAAGTGGCTAAAATGGAAAAAAATTTCTCAACTGATCAAACAATTGCATATTTCAGAAATCGAACTACAGATGCATGTAAAAGACGTATGTATACATACACACGATGTCAACGATGCACTGTGACGGCAACATTATTTTTGAATCGATTTTTGGAATAATGTGGGCGAAGTAAAAATAGCCTTTGCGTATATCACCAACAATCGCGACAGGGCAAGGTAAAGCTTGAGGCAGAATACATCAAGGATTGTTGCTCGAATATCAGATATTTCGTAATTGTGTTCGAAATGACCCCTCTTGGAAGTACACCCACGTAAAAATGCATTCCAAGATGCCACCACACTGCACCGTAACACGAGTTCAATACTGCCTGTCAACACTGCTTCAAATCAACGGAAATACCAACTTTTTACATGGGAAAAATGATTTTATACGGAGCTCAGCTGACCTTGCCCCTCTACTCATCTAGCCACTTTGACCAGACTTTTGGGCTCTCAATGTTGTTTTGGTTTTTACTTATCGCAATAAGTGCAAAACATTTCGGTTTCGTTTTAGATTTGGTGCTTTGGAAGAAAAGATAAATTTTGAATTTTGAACAAGTAGTACAAAAACTTGTACCTATCACTGCAAAAATTTTTGAATATCCATAGAAGATCATAAAATGGAGATTGTATGGACCTTTATTGGAAATAGAATGGATTTTGATTATCCATAATAATTGTATATTTTCATACTATGGATATAGTATCGAAATAGTATGGATATACTATTGGATGGATTTAGTAGTGCAATTGCAAATTTCATACAATGCATTTCACATACATTTGTTCCCAGTGTATATGCATGGGTGACAATGAGATGGTGTTTTGTCGTTTAGTTTTGTAAAACCATATATCGAGTTTCCAAACTTTGTATTTTATTAATTACGTGTAAGTTGAAACTAAGCCACATATTATTCATAAATTTATGACGTATTTTACACTGATGAGAAAAATTTAAAACTCTGTATATGTTTATATCCTTATACAGCAATAATACATGTATATGCCTACTGTGATCACAGAAACTTTGATAGTGTAACCCATGCAGCCTAATTAGTGCTTCAAATCGATCTACTAAAATCCACTAAACAATAGATTGCAAAAATTTCGTTTATACTCGAAGCAGGAAATTGATATGACAAACACAGTTAATCAAATCAATATTCTCAGGAAGTCATGAGGGGGTTTACATAAGCAAACAGATGCAAACTCTTGCCATTGACACATTGTGCTATTTGACCTTATTAACCCCAAGAAAGAAAGAATATATAAAAAATTAATATTGTAAAGATGTTCCACTTGGAAGAAAAGAAATCAAATCATTAGAAAAGACTGGTTTACACTATAAACGTTTCTGTGATCACAATCGGAATTCTGCATGGGCAAATTCTAAGACTAAGTTTTTGAAGGATTTGTAGGAAATGTTTGGACAAACCGCGACTTAATGTTAAACACTGATTCGGTTCCCTCAAACATTTCTTACAAATCTTTCAAAACTTGGACACCACCTATATGCAAAATTCCTACTGTGATCATAGAAACTTCGACAGTGTATACCAGGCCAAAGGAATAAAGAAAATATATAATACATTACTCTATATATCGTCTTGTAAAAAAGTTTAAAAAAATATTTTTTTTTTTTTTAAATCTACTGTCAAATATCAGAGGTCAAATATGATAATTTAACTTTTTTCAAGTTGCCATTACAAACACTTTTCTATTATGAATATTTTCGTACATTTACAGTACAATTATCAGTATTAATCACTATATTTCCGACCCAATAAGGCAATAGGCATTCGATTTCAACATATAATTATGTACAGTGTGATGCCTTACAAGATGGGCAGCGAATCTCATTGCCAAATATGATAATTTTTTTCTGGCCCTTAAACAACAAAAGTTGATCAGTATTTCAGACCAAAAGTCAAAACGAAAAGCTGATCACTATTACTTCAATTTCAATTCGTACATATTTGAAAAGGATGAGCTGCCTCAGCTTCGCAAATCAGTCATCAAATGTGAAAATTAAACTGTTCTTTTTCAAACTTTTACACCATGTAACTAAATTAGTTCAAGAGTATTTTCAATACAATATAACCTTGCGATATGCTAATTTCACTCTTCGACTTTACCGCATTTTTTGAACAATAGCAAATCTCATAATACCAATTGCCCAATATGATAATTTAACTGTTTTAATTATCTTCAAACAATAATTGTCATAATCCAATGACGCCCTATATTGTGTTTTACTTCTGTATCTGCTTAAAAACCATAGCAACCCTGACCGCAACAACCACAAAGCTAAATCCTGTAACGAACTGCCACCGCCTTGGTATTTGCGTAATACCCACATCGCTTTTAATTATAGCCGATTATAATTGTTGAAATAATGAAATATATAACGTCATATACTAATTGTAATTGACAAGATTGCTCAAGTATTTTTTTATATAAAAATGTGTGTGGTCCATTTCAAAGGATGAAAATCACAAATTATTGACTTGCATGACCCAAAGTTTGGCAACATTTTGTTTGCAACACAGCCTATACCATCTCGAAATATACTCATGAAATGTCAGACACAGTATTTTATTAAAGTAAGGCGCGACAGAGATTTTGACTCTGCCAAGGTTTTTTGGTATAACTAATTTTGGCGGCATTTTGCACCATAGCGCTCGTGCAAGAAAGCAAAATGTTTTTTAAAATCTTACTTTTTGTCATATTACCACAAACTGATACAAACACAGTTTTAATCCAGTCCCTCCAGTAGAAAAATATTTAGTTTATCTCTTCTGGCGCGCCCCTCAGTCTGGATCAGGACGTTACGCCCTACTCTGAACAACTTAATTGAAAATTGAATTCAATCAAAACACCGAGGCTGCATCATGTAGCTTGTATAGAATGCACTCGTGGCTACACGTGCGATTTGTGATAAAATGTACTGATGATAACAAGGTAATTAAATTTACAAACTTACGCTTGCCGCTAATCACTACATGCCACACCCTTCGTCTTCTGCTGATTACTGCAGCTTTTATCAACTTGTACATCAACGTTTACCCTAGAGATAGTAATACAAACACCGTGGTTAATCCAAAAGCAATCTCAATTTACCGTAGGCCACAATCATAAAAATAATATCCGCAGACTATTTTAAAACTTATCTTGTCTTACTATGTTGCAAAGCCATTTTAATTCTTAGTTAATACAAACGTCCATGATACCTAAGTAGTATCCCCCCCCCCCCCCCCCCCCCC